ATAGGTCCAAAGAACATTGTGTGTCCTCATCAAAGACACTGTATTTGTGTGGCCAGATCATCTAATAGTCTCCCACAAAAAAGACTTTAAAAAGGTAATGAGGTAATGCTTCATTTATACACACTTATACTTACTGTACTGTATTTGCATTGTGTTTCAGTGGGATAATAAAATATGCTGTTTTAATTAAATAATGTTCCAGAATCCTCTTGCTATACATCTGATACTGTAGAATCCTGCTAGATTTTATATTTCTAATGATTTTCAAATTTCGAGATGTATTCCCTAACAAAGAATAAGGTTAAAACATGCTGACTAATTGTTTCTTTATTCCGCTTATGCTACAAAAACATTCATATCAAGAGTACAACCAGTCTGACCAACGGGGCCATGGACTTGACATGAAAAGGAATAGTATGTCTATAGAAGCTGATCTTGACTGTATGATTTGGTTGAACAGTAAAGTGCCTTGAGATGACTTGTGTTGTGAACTGGCGCTATATAAATAAACTGAATTGAATTGGTCAGTCATTGCTTTCTACATTATACATCGGCCTTAAATTGTTGTCAGACTTATTCAGATTCTAACATCTATCTATTTCTTCTGCTTCCAGTAAGTATGATAAAAGCATAAACTGCTCCCTCACTGCTTTACTCCACCATAGCATACAGTAAAAAAAGCATGCTGCTACATCACTTATACCCCTTCCCCACTGGCCAAAAAAACCCAGGAACAATCAGCTTTTAGTGGCAGTGGTAATAATTCACTGACCCTTATTGACCAGGGTCAAATGACTCAGCAAGTGACGTGTGTTAAAATCTCCTCTGATGGGCATGCTGTGGGAACTCCAGACCCGAGTCGACCTGCCAATTTATGTGATACCAGTACAATGTACGGACGTCAACACACTGACTGCAGTCGCGTCTGGTCTAACAAGCAAAAACAACTTTGTGTACATTTGATAAACATGCTGCAGCACTGGTGAGAGGGATTTCGGACAGATACTGTAAAAGAGCAAAACACTACATATAATACTCACTATGCCTGCCTTCCTTACACGTTACTCTCCATTGTTTACTTTCCTGATTTCTGTCACACTGGTGACCTCATCAACGTTAAAACAGCATGATGGTGTCACCAGACACGCAGCAGCATGGGCACAGAGGTCATGCAGCTTGCCTGCGGGAGGTCAGAACCAGCTATTTTTGCTCCTGGGAAGGGAGCCAAATACTGATTGTTTGCTGGTCCACCCTTAACCTGGGTTAAACCCCCAATTTCAAGGGGAAAGAGGCTTTATTGCATTGTTATGTGAACGTCGCAGTTTCCGTAATCCTGCAGCCTGTCCATCTATACTAAAGACGGTTTACAGACTTTTATCTCAACATTTTCAGGCAATCGCTGAGAATGTGAAAACTACTGTACATTATATTGATGTGACAGAACAAAGTTACTTAAATCAGACTAACAAAGAAATGTTAGTCTGATTTACTACTCTACTCTTCGTCTTATTTCTTTTGTTAGCATATTAAAAAGAACATTAACACAAGTCTTGAAGTTTCAGACAACTGACTCTTTTTTTATTAGGTTTATACAGAAAGACTTCTTAAAAGAAAATATATGTATAAAACTGGGACAACAGCTTTATTCAAAGCTGTAAATGAAAACAAAGGATACCATTAGGCTTTCATTTTTTTATTAATCATTTTTCAATAAAGGGACAAAATGGGCATGTGAACAGGATTATGCAGACATCTGCCAGAAAACACAGACAGTGGTATTCCCATTACAACTGAACAGAGACCCCAAAAAAGTACAACAGAAATCATAGAGCTTGTTTTGTCCAATGACCACTGGCCACCATTAGAAAATGAAATAAAATTATAGTGAAATTAAAACAAATGAAGAAAATAAAAACAAACCAAAAACATATGACTCCATTCCATGTCTCTGTTTAGAACAGAGCATATAGGTAATAAATAGTAGCTTCCATTGTAAAAGATAAAGTTCATGTTCAAGTTACAACAAACAGCTCTCAGAACAGGAATAGAAAAGGCTGATAACAAAATATTCCACATTGCCATTTACAAAAAAAGTCTCAACTCAAGCCGGCTTCTCCACATCCCCCTGGTCATTTTTAAATATGCTTTGCATATGAAAGTATATTCACCCAATCTAAATATAAAGCACCATTTAGTATTTGGCAATGGAAAAGAAAATGCAAAAACATTTCATTTGTTTTTAAATGTATTTATTTCAACTTTTTTTTTAAGAGATCCATGTACTGCATATTAAGTTTGTTTTTAATCTTTAGATTTTTTCCTCCTCTCTTCTTGATGTTGGAATGTTGTCAGGTGGGAGAGGTGAGAGAGACAGAGCACACAACAGAACAGGCCAACGTCAGCGTTCAGTACTGCATACAAGAATGGCAGCAGAGTGAGGATAAAGAAGTGCGAACAAAAAAGTAAAAAACAAAGAAGATATGTACAAACACCTCTGTGGCAGCAGGAATGAAAGCAGCAGCCATCTGATGACCTGCAATGCTTCCCAATGCCACACACTTTAGCTGCTTTTTTATGGGATTTTTTTTTTACATTTTATTTCTTTAGACACACAAGTAATTCGCACTATATTATCCTGCCAAATTAAGAAAAAATATACCGTGGCAGCTTGGTTTTTTTTCCACTACCAAAACAGGTATGGCAAATACCTTTAGAGAGAACAAGCAACAGTTAAAAATACGAGCCTCAATATAAATACTATAGTGCCTACTCTAAGTGAACATTGAATTCAAATATAATTCTAGAAATACAGAAAAAGTAGACCATAAATGTGTTTAAGAATAGGAACTGACATGACTGTGCATTTTCCTATATTTTAAGTTCTTTATTATATATTCATATATAATCTCAATCCTTTCCCCAATGAAAATTGTATTTAAACCTGAAGAGCCATGAAGAACCAAGGCAGAAAATGAAGAAAAAAAAAAAAGAAACATCACAAAATCTTTTTCTTTTCAACTTTTCAGAAATGCTTCACCTGCATATACTGTGATCGGAGCATTAACCACCATGAGGAGGCAATAACAAAACTAAAATATAGTATAGTGCCAAAATATAGTATAGTGCCATTTAAAAAAAAAAGACATGTTTTTATGCCCATATTTCAGGGGGTTACAAAAACAGAACCTTGTGATGTAAGTAACAAGATTGGAGTGTCTGTTGTCCAGGCAGAAACTTATTCAGATGATGATGAATATGAACTTCTTTAAAAAAAGTGGTTGTTAATAAAGCCAGGAGAAGTGCATTTAGTTTGCCACTAGGTATGAACAGTGATTAGTTAGGCTGAGAGTAAGTTTTGGAGTTTTGTGGGTTACCAAATGTTCAAGGAGGAAATGGTGAGGATACAGAGGTCAGGGTAGGTGACGCTGCTAGCAACAGTTTTTGTGTGGTGCTTTTTTTTTTCTTTACTGCTTGTAACAAGAGGATCCTCATCATCAGACATTAAAAAAGATTTTCCCCTTCGGCATAAACTTGTAAACTGGGAAAACTGAAACAGTGCACTTCATGTCAAACAAATCCAGCTTGTAGACTCAATCCATGTACCATCTCTCAATGTAAATCTAGGACAATGCACATTTAGTGCTTTACATCCAACAGCATAAATGAAATTAATTAAAAAACAATCTCTTTTGGGTTGCAAATAAACAGGAAATGAAAGAAACAAAAAGCAGTGTGCCTTGCATTACCCTACAAAAGTATACACACCCATGTTAAAAACTGCCGCATATACATAAATACACACACACACACACAATATATATATATATATATATATATATATATATATATATATATATATATATATATATATATATATATATATATATATATATATATATGTGCGTGATATATATGTGTGTGTGGGTGTGTTAAAAATGACTACAGCCTATGTTGTATGGTTGTTTTCTACTTGAGTTGTAAAGAATTGTCCCATTTTATGTGGGATGTATTAAATAGATTTTTTTTTGGTTTCTCATTTCTCAATCACAAAGACTTGGCATTTTAGCAAGGCTGTGCACACTTTTGAGAGCCACTACATGCATATTAATAGACATAAAAACCTTAAAAACAAAAAAATATATGTTTCTGAAATCTCTCTTTCTCTGCCAGTCATTGCTGATGACCCTGTTCTGAATCTAGAATTCACAAGTAAAATACATTGCCTTGGATCCCATAATGGGCACATAGCTTCCAGTTTTATTTAGATTTTTATCTGTCTAGGCTGTTATTTTTTTACAAGTCTTAAGTGAGCTTCAATTTAAGCTCAAATATTACTTTATGCATTGTTCCACACACTGACATGCTGAAGCAGCTTTGTAGATTAGTGCTAACGCAGACATGTGACACTGCGCCTCGTCCCTCAAGTTTTGGATTGTACATTTCATCACATATCACCTTTCTCTCAAAAGCAAAACCTCAACTAATTCAGATATTCACAATACTGCTCGTACCATGTTTGCCATAAATTCCCAAAACATAGACAAAGTATTGAACATGTAATAGCTAAATGATGATTTTGAACTTTCATTGTGAATTGTCAGTTTGAGCCTTCAGGTGTTTGATTCAAGGACCTTTTTCTGGGTGGTCTAACTCATTTAGCCTTGTCTTGTGTGACCCCAAACTTAAACCAGATAAGATAATGGCCAATGAACTTTTGATATATCAAAGGCACTCTTCCTTATTCCTCCAAATGATTGTACAAATTGAGTTTGTTGCAAACTTTGTCTTTTTGAAAGAAGTTTGAGGCCTGTCATCACTTTAAGTTTAGTAGTCAAGCCAAATGTTTATGATTATTTTATCTTTTAGAAAGATTAGAATAAGTGCATTTTCAGGGTCGTAAAAAAGGGGGTCAAGTAAAAGACTGTTCAATTTCCATGTTACAAAACAAAGCTGTACATGATATGTGTTACAGAATGTATGCAGCATGGATGTATCTTTCTTTTTTATTTTTTAAGAATAAAAAGAATATAACTGAATGAGAGAAAAACAGCAACACATTTACTCAACAACTAACCAACAAGGGACAAGTTCTTTTCTTTTTTCTTTTCTTTTTTGATTAGCAAAAACATACTATGCATGCTGACTAATTCTTTAAAATGAAAAGCAAAAGAAAACTCAATTAAAGGAAATAGTACACAACATGTAAATTATTGCACAAGAGAAAGGCTCGAAGTTTTGCATCAATGCAAGAGTATTGCCCCGATACAGATCATGCATTCGATGGGTAATGAAAACAAGGTGTGCTGGTGCAGAGCACATGGTCTTAGACTTCCACCAGTTTGGTGAAAGAGGGAGTGTTGGTGTAGGAGCCAATTATCCTTTGGTGTTTGTCGCCACCAGGGGGCGTATTTAATCTTTGAGTTCTGAGTGTCTGATGAGGGGATGGGTTATTTAAGGTCAACCATCAATTCTGTTCAGGTGTGGTTAATAGGCTGAGGCAAACAGTTTTCTACTGTGCTTGGTTGGATTTATGTTGAATTTATGTGGATCTTGAAGGAAAACAGTAAGATAATGGACTTGTGCTGAAAATAAATGACTTTGTTTTATGTCAAACGGAAGATCGGCATTCTAAATCTTAATTGAGCGCACGTAAAACCAATGCCTTCCAACACAAACCACCAGTAGCCTAAAATATAGGATTTTAGCCGCTACAGTTGGTATCAGGACAAATCTACAAGGGGGCTAGGAATAAACACTTGACTGTTGGCGACCCAGTTGTGAGGGGAAAAAGGTCTCATTGTTTCTGCCTTCTACTCTGACTTTATTTCTGTACTCAAGGGACGGTCACTGTGCCATTTTTTCATGTATTTCTCCAAGGTGCTGTAAACACTGAAGGGCATTTGACAAATTTCACACTTGTATACATCTTTTCCCACCTGACCATGGGTCTTCATGTGGCGGGTAAGTTTGGAGCTCTGGGCACAAGCATAATTGCAAAGCTCACATTTGTAGGGTCTCTCTCCTGTGTGGCTATGCCTGTGTACTGTTAAGTTACTGCAGTTCTTAAAAACCTTGCCACAGAACTCACAAGTGTCACTTCTGCGTCCATCCTTGGAGCTGGGTCTTCCAGGACCCCCAAGGTGGGGTGTGCTGCCCCCACTGCCTGTCCCACTGCGGCCTGACATTCCTCCATCAAGTTCTCCAGGTGGGGTCGAAAAACGCAGGCTGCCATTCTCTGACGAGTGCTCAGATGATGATGCAAAAGGCGATTGTCTGGAATCCCCGAAATTAAGAAAGCGATCCTTGAGTTGTCGAGAGGCAGCATAGCCAGCCAGCCATTGGGAGTAGACGTTTTCTGTGTTAGGGATGGTAGGGGTAGGCAGGTCAAATTCTTTCTCCAATTTAATGCGTTTTGAAAAAGGACTAAGTGGACTGGGACTACCCAGAAGCAGTTTTTTTGAGAGGCCAATTGAAGAAGATTCATTAGGAGAAGCCCCTCGTCCATTTACTGCGGAAACAGTGCCTTCTTCTACACGTTCTGTTTCCAGGACAGAGTCTCCATCGCACAAGTCCCGATTGTGGTGATGGTCTCTGCTGAGATGATGATGCAGATGGTTCTCTTGCAACATTGCGTTTCGTTTGTGTGCATTGAGGGCTTCACTGAAATGCTGCATACTGGCAGCAAGACCCATTCCCTGCATGACCTCTGGCAGTGACCGAGGAATAGATGCCTCATCAGCCACCCCAGCCAGTCGACTTGCAATACCACTGCTGTTTTCATGTTGTCGTGATGCTTCCAGATTCAGTCCAAAGGGATAGCTGTTGTTTAGTTTGGGTGGCCTCTCCCCATTCTGTACTTCTTCTTCCCCCTCCTCTTCCTCCTCCTCCTCCTCTTCCTCCTCCTCCTCTTCTTCTTCTTCCTCCTCTTCTTCTTCTTCCTCGCCATTTTCTCGTATCATGCGGTCATTTTCACTTTTCAGTTTGGCCACCACTGATTTAAGTGCATTGCTTGCTCTGCCTATATGCTCACTAGTGCCAGGCTCGGGGGATGAGGCAATAGATAGACCATCTTCTGATTTGCCAGTGTTTGGCGAGGATGATTTGTGCATATGGGTCTTCATATGTCGTTTAAGTTTGCTGGCCTGTGTGCAAGCATGATCACACAAGTGACATTTGTACGGCTTTTCTCCTGTGTGGCTTCGTCGATGCACTATAGAGCTTTGGAGCGTGACGTCACTTCCCTAGTAGGAGGAGCACCGGCACCATCTTAGGGGTCCACAAACGTAACTGGCAAAAGCAATATCTCGACATTCTCGCAGATTTTTAGAATCTAAGTTAGCAATGGTTCGAACTTGCTGTGTTATTGGGTGTAATGTTAGGTCACGCGACCGCAGCTGTACAAAGATAGAAAATGGACTTTCATTTTACACTTTTCCTGCCTGGAAACAACGCGAGGGGGCTAAGGTATCTGAGCTAACAAAAAGTCGACGAATGGCCTGGGTATCAGCGGTAAGACGTTCTGATATTACCTTCTCCAACATCTCAAGAAACCTACGAGTTTGCTCCAGACATTTCCATTCTGGTGAGTGTCTAAATTCGCTTTGTTTTTATGTCATTATTTTTTTGCTATGATTTTTTCCCGGGTGTACTTGTGTTCAGTTTATGTCGAGTTAAGTAGATCAGGCTAATATAAGTAGCGAGTTTTGTTAGTGGACATCGGGGTTATTCCACTATTGTCAAGTAAACTATTTAAGTTTTCTAGTGTTATAATTCACAGTATTAAGACTGATGTGTGTTCCGATTTGTTCTCTTAAAGGCAAGCCGTCATACGAAATGGATGAGCTCAATCCAGACTGGGTTCCAACGCTAAATATGGGTCACTGCGAGATAAACGCCACAACATCGGACCGACATGTGCGTTGTTTAAAGAGGCGATACAGCAGCGCAGTTGAAGGCCAGGCAGCAAAGACCATGGTAGAAAAACAAGAACCGGAGCAAGTTACAGAGATTGCATCAGAAACACCAGAAGAGGTCAAACAAAACACAGTAGTTGAGGCAATGGAAGAGGAGCGAGTTCGAGAGGCTGTGGAGGAAACCCCAGGAGAGGAGCTCAGCAAGGCTGCAGACTCTGACGAGGAACATGATTTAGCATCAAAAAGGCAACAAATCGAATGTCACTTGTGTGAAGAGAGAAGAGAAGAAATAAATCGTTTGTTACAGGAGAACAGGAAGCTCAGGTCAGAGCTGAATAAAAAACAGCTGGACACAGATTTTTTTAAGGATGACACAAAAAAAGTAAAATATTATACAGGACTTCCTTGCTTTGTCATTTTATTATCATTGTTTAACACTATTAGGCCTTTTCTGTCAGAATCAAAAAAGATTTCACAGTTTCAAATGGTTGTACTTACACTAATGCGTCTAAGACTTGATTTACCTGTTCTGCATCTTTGCCATCTTTTCAGTGTGTCACACAAAACTCTGTCGACTGTCTTTGCTGACACCCTTGATGTGTTGTATGCACGCCTTAAGCCCATGGTAAGCTGGCCTGAGAGGCATTGTTTACAAGCCACAATGCCTCCTCAGTTTTTGGAAATATTTGGAAAACGTGTAGCAATTATTGTTGATTGTTTTGAATTAGGCACAGAAAGACCCTCAAATTTAAAAGCACGTGCACAATCCTTCTCCCGGTACAAAGGAAGACACACTATGAAATACCTTATTGGTATAACACCACATGGGTCGATTTCTTTTATTTCTAAGGGATGGGGTGGACGTACTTCAGACAAGCACATTACAGAAAACTGTGGCCTTCTCTCCAATTTATTACCTGGAGACATTGTGTTAGCAGACAGAGGCTTTGATATTAAGGACAGTGTAGGAATGATGTGTGCTGAGGTCAAGATGCCATCATTCACTAAAGGGAGATGTCAACTGGATGCTAAAGATGTCGAAGACTCGCGAGCTATAGCTCACCTCAGAATTCATGTGGAAAGAGTGATTGGCTGCATGAGGAACAAATACAAACTGTTACACAGAACTATACCAATTAGGTTGCTGCTTACATGTGAGGGTGAAGAGGTGACACTTCTTGACAAGATTGTGTTTGTGTGCTGCTGCTTAGTGAACATGTGTTCTAGTGTGGTTGTGAAACCTAATGAAAATGAAACCTGTACATGTGAATATGAAACTCCAATGCTTGACTGATATTAATTAAAATGCAGATTGAAAAAAGATTTTCTGCATTTATTCTTTTGGCATATTTGTATGGTTAGTACTGTTTTTAGAAAAAATGTAGATAAAAAAAAAACTAAATTGTTTTGTAAGATAGCACTGTTGTGAAAAAAATAATATAGTAAAAAAGGAAATTTTTTTTTATTTGTTTTTTATGATTTTATGGAAATGTGTAGATTTGAATAAAAACAGGGAAAGGGGATTTTTTTTCTTCATTTAATAAATTGATCTGGAAAAACTTTAAATAAGATTTTTTTATTAACCCTTTGAAGTTGTTTAAACAGTTGATAAAATTTCCCAAAAACATTTTTCATAAACAGTCATAACATTTAAAATTTGGGAAAAACATTTAAAATTCTTTTGAAGTAGATTTAGATTTTTAGTTAAACTTTTTTTGTTTAAAAATACTTATATAACCGGGAATTTACCCAAGTAAACAATGTAAAAAAATATGACCAAATGAAAGAGCCCATATTTAAACATTCAACGGTATTCAGAGTGAAAAAAATATGAAAAAAGGCACTTTTAAAATTTTGTCTTTTTGGGAAATTTTTCGTGGAAATGTGTAGATTTGAATAACAACATGAAAGAAATTGTTTTTTTCCCCATTTAATAAATTGTTTTGGAAAACATTTGAAAAGGGACTATTGTTTTAAAGGCAATTAAAGTTGAATGTAAACAGTTGATAAAACTTCAAACAGTCTAAGAAAAAAATTTGAAAATTAAATATCATATACATGAAGTAAAATTAGATTTTTAGAAAAACATTTTTTGTTTAAAATTTACTTTTTTAAAATTTTGGACATTTAGCGGTAAAAATATGCCCAAAAATTGAAAGACCCCCATTTTTTAAAAACTTTTAAAACATGTATTAAAGAGTAAAAAATTAATATAAAAATAGTCACATTATTAAAAATTAGTCTTATTGGGCATTTTTCAGTGGAAAAAGTAACATGTAAGTGAACATTACAGGTAAAAAATCTGCCAAAAAAACAGAGAAAAAATTTTAGGAAAAAAAGTGCAAATATTAGTCTAGCAGAATGATTTTACATGCCTTTTTGACAAGATTGTTGGGCTATGTCTCCTTGAAGTGGAGTAAAGGTGTGCTCGAGAAATATCTACCCAAAAAAGTTCTGGAAGGCAAATGTTTTTAAAGAAAAATTTGTGCTTTTTGTGGGGTGGGTTTCCCCGAATTCCTGATCTGGAAAGACACGGACAAAAAAGCCATGTCTTTCTGGGTCAACAAAAAAGGTCACAGTTGGGTTTTTTTTTTGTCACAAAATTTTCAGTTTGTTAAATGTGGGATAGTATGGGGGTGATTTTTTTTCGGGGAAGTTTTACTTTCCAGACAGCTGAAAGGGAAAAGTTTTTGTCGTTTGCACCAAATGCTCCTGGAAAGGGAGGGGGGGTTTTTTCCCCCCTATTTATAAGGACACCCTTTTTCTCCGGCAGCCCCTTACCACAGCAGTCACCCTGTTGTGAATACCCCCCCCCCCCCCCCCCAAAAAAGAAAGCTCCAAATTCGGGAAGTCAGTGTTTTTGATGAAAACCCACTTTTTTTTCTTTTGATTTTTGTGACAAGCTCTTAAAAATTTTAAAGTAGGGCCCCTTTTTGCATCAACCTCTTTATTTTACACCCACTTTTGTTTGGGGCCATAAAACATGGTGTTGCCTTTGGGGTTTTCACAAAAATTGGGGTTTTTTAAAAATGTAAGCGCTGGGCTTTCCAAAATTTGGGTGGCCCAAAGACAAAACCGTGCAAGAGGTTTTTGTTAAATTGTCCCCCAGCCGGACATTCCAATTTTCCAAGGCAGAAACACGTTTTTGCTGCAGTTTGTGTGCTTTTCAAATAGCTTCTGCCTGCCCCATCAGTCACTATTGGAAACTTTTTTTTATTTTTCACAGCATAGCAAAAAATTGACAAATTTATCGGAGTTTGGGTGTTTTTGTTGTTTCAGAGAGGATAGGAAGAGGTAACTTAACTGATTGGGTTTTTCTGTGTGTGTGGGAAAAATTTTGTAATATTCTTCCCTTTTCCTTGGGGGAAAACCAACAGCTTTGGATGCTCTAAATTGGGGTTTCAAGCAGAGGGATCAATCTTCCCGATTTGCAGGGGGGATTTTTCCCTTTTTTTCGGCGGCTTCTTCTGGCTGGGTGTTGAGACTTCAGCAAGGAATATTTTTGGGCAAGTATCTTTTTTTTTGGGGGAAGCTGGAAATAATATAGTCAATTTTTGGGCCCAAATTTGCGTGAATCTTCTTCCCGAAAATTTCCCCGGTAATATTTAGTAGGCTGGCCCCCTGTAACAGTTTTTGTGCCCCCGTATCCTTCCCCTGTTGCTTCCCCCTTAAAAAAATAGGGCACCTATTTGGGGGCAGGGGCCTTTTACCCCTTTTTATGCAAATTTCAAGTGCACACTCAACAGTTTCCAGTGTTGCTCGCATGACCCACGGTGTTAACGGGGGGCTCACAGAGTCTTGAGGTTTCTTTTAACCGCAAAAACCAAAAAAGAAATGAATGGGGATTTTTTTATTAAATTAATTTTTTATTTATTTTGAATGAACATTAGTTTTTGCCCCTTTTTATAACTATTTTTTTTTCATTGTAAATGTGTAAATGACAGGTTAATTATTTTAGTCTTTGTTTGGGGAAAATTTTTTATTTTTCTCATTTTATTTTAATATTCATATTTAAATCCATATAAAGTTTTCACTCATTTTGTTTCTCTTTTCAAGGCCAAAACCATTCCCCCGCAGAAAGTTGTTTGTAGACCAGGGCAGGTTCTTCCATAACAAACCCGATTCTTTCTCAAAGGGGGATTTAAACTGGGTTTCCTTTTTTAAGCAAAAAGTGTGTAATTTGTTTTGACTCTGATTTCTTTCCATTGTTGTCACTAGGGGGGGGAAAAAAGCCTGCCCAAAATTTAGAAAAAAGAGCAGAAAAGCTCTTTCCTTTACACTTATCTCTTTTGCCAAAAAATGAAAAAATAAAAGTTTCCGGGCTGGGGAAATCATCGATCTCCCTTTATTTTTTTAGGAGAATATTGAATACTTTTTTCCCCGACAGTCTTTTTATTTGTTTTGAGGGGCCCAAAAGGGAAATTAAAAAATGCAGTGGGAAATTTCTGTAAATTTTAATTTAATATTGGCTCTTCGCCCCAAACCCAAATTTGTCCCCTTTTAAAAATTAAGTGTTCACAAATTTATAGTACTATACCAAAAAACATTCTGTTTGACTTTAAAATTTAAAGTACTTTTAAAAATGTACATTTTAAAAGAAGGGGGTCAGAACCCACCCTTTTTTCGAAAACCCCCAAAGTATTCACAATCAAGGGGGGGGTAAAAATTTTCCAAATCATGTACCCAGCCATTTTTAAAAAGGAAAGTTGCCTCCATTGGCTTTTTAATTTTTTGAAATGATTTCCCGGGGTAAGCACTGGGCCCACAGCCCGGGGATGTTTTAAAATTTTTTCTGGGAATGTCATAAAGAGGTAAAAATCGGGGGTTTCTGCTCCAATTTTTTATTTTCAAAAGGGTCGTTATGTCCAAATTTTTTCTATTTTTTCCATGTGCGTTTCTTGGCTTTTTGGGAGAAGCTTTTTTGCATTTTAAACCCCCTTTGTTTTTTAAAACTGTTTTCAGCAAATTTTTGGGAAGGGGGAGAATACAGCCCCTTTAAAACCCACCCAAAAAGCCCCAAAATGGGTTTTTTTTGGTTGTGGACCCCTAAATGGCGACCCAGGACGAAAACGTTTATATCCTGTGGGGGTCAAATCCCCAAAACTCTATTAAATTGCTTGGAATTAAAAAAGGCCCTTTCCACCCAAATCACAACACTTTGATTTTAACTGAGTGTTGGAGGAAGAGGGTGGTCCTGCTGAAGGGAGAGGAGTTGGAGGAGTGGTTTGTGAACCCACAGGTGACTGCATGGAGCCTTGTAGTGGTGGAGGAGTAGCAAGATATGGAGGTTTGCTACCCCCTGTGCCCCCTGTACCTCCATTTCCTCCTGTTTGGAATGGCTGCAGTAAGCGCTGCATGGGGCTTGGCCGGCTGGGTGACAACGGGGGAGTAGACCCTGAGGTGTTGCCCGCCAGTTCCCGTAGACGCCTTGAGAAGTCCATTGTCGGAGGTGGTTCCAGAGGCAGAGGAGGATTAAGGCGCAGCACCCTGTCAAAGGCACTCGGGTGGTGGGCTGCCAGCGCCAGCTCCTCTGGGCTCAGGTGGTGGGGATCCAGATGATTTCGTGGAGGGGGGCTGAAGAGAGGTGGGGTTGGGGGGAAACGCTGATGATGGCCCCCAGGAACCCCAGAGCCAATGGCACCTCCTGCTCCGACGCTGTCCCTTCCCCCTGAGCCTGAGCCAGGGATGCGGAGGAGGTTGAAAGGGCTTGCATCAGGCGGCAAATGGAGTCCATGAAGGGGAGGCTGAGAGGGACAGTCGGCACCACCACCAAGAGAAGATGGCCCACCCATGCGTGGGGTGAGAGGACTGCCATGTTCGCTTTCCAGATAAATTCGAAAGCCATGAGAGTTCTGGGCATGCTGAAGCAAGAACCAGGCACTGCCATATGACTGCTTACACGTTGTGCAGGTATACGTAGTTGGCTCCTCCTTACCTGTGGGGACAGAGAGAGAAAGAACTTACAAAGATGCTGACTATATGTTAAACACTGCTTTGTAAAAAAGACTAATAAGAAGAGTTGTCTGAACTACTTTCATCACTTTAATGTGAGAAAAAAGGCCGGACCTTAGGCCTTGCTGAGTTTAAAGTGGTTGGCACATGGTGTTGAGGGCTTTGCAAACACAACAGCAGCTTTTATTGAGGTCATGCCCCACATGAGTAGCATGTGAGAAGAACTGTGTGTATCTCTTTTTCTCCCAGACTGCTTTGGGACATAATTTCCCCCTTTAGACTGACTGAGAGTCCTCTATTGTCAGCAGGAGAACAAAGATGCAGGCTATCCCTGTGGACTGCTATTTCTTACTGATCTACCAAAACAGATTTGTTGGCGAATTCATAGACACCAAAAAAAGAAACAGTTAAACACACACAAAGCCCCAGGAGAGACAAATGTATAATAACTCCTGAAACCTTTAAGTTAGTAAGTTTCTAGAGTGTGCGTAATTTAACATCATAGCATGCCCAAAACACCAGCTTGTATTTAACCCAGAAATATGGCATAGCTAAATATTAAAATACCTCATATACATTTTTACTGTGTCCACAATCATCCCACATGCATTTACCCCTCCCAAAAAACAGTTGACACTTATATTCTGTGACTTATGCAAATAAGTAACCTTAGTAGCCCAAAGAGGTAAGACTGTAGGAGTGTGAAATCTTTAAGGCTCTGACTGAAAAGGAAATTTGAATCTCACTGTCTAGCTTAGAGCTATTTTTTTCCTAATCAAGCCATGCACAATTGCTTTAAGAAGGCGATGAGAAGAACATTTAAAACAATAATTGCTTTTGTAAGGGCATGTGGAACAATGACCTGTGGTGCGACCTGCAATGCGTGTCTAATCTCATTAGTGGACGGAATGGACGGCCATCGGCTCGTTTGCAAGATTAGATGACAAACGAACCCCCTGTTGCTAGTGTTCAGAAGTGACTTTTGCTTAGCGCAAAATGAAAAAGCACATCAAAAGGAAAAAGAGACAATTTTGCCAAAGTCTGAAAAAGATCCTATTAAAAATGTGTATTCAGCTTGTTTGAGTTAGGTAAGATCACTGTGGAATTACTGTGTTACCACTGCTTCTCTTTAAAAAAGGAAAAAACAAGAAAATGTAATACATTTATCTTTAAGCTTTTTCTTGTGTGAGCACAGACACTGAATAAGTTGGAATTAAACAGGTTTCTGAATGTCATTTGTCCATTTCAAAATCAGTTTTCCTTTTTTGAACATCCAAACATACAACTTAAGAAAAGCTTTTTGGAAGGTCAAACAGCTTCTTTGAAAGTTGTAACATCTGTAGTGTATGAATATATTTTACATAACCCTATTTTTAATAAAGACATATACCCCTTTATGAATATATCATCATAGATGCTATTTTTGTTCAGGATTTAGTCAGAGCAAAATTCTTTTTGAATGTTAACTGGTTACAGACGGGTTTCACTAAGGATTGTAATAGTTACATCCCAGGTCCTGGATACATGTGTCTGTGAAAGCTCTGATGCCCTAACTGATCATTCATCCAGACTTATTCATCCGTGCATCCTCCATTTCAGCCCTTCTACTCAATGTTATAATTCCTACCAGCTCTGTGGCACTTAGTCATGATGCTCCCCTCCATTGTCCATCAGATTAATAGTCAGAGGGATCCTCAAGTCTGGGCTATTGCATTGCAACATTTTGTGGTGAGTTACAGAGCGGACATGCAACGAAATCTAAGTGAAGCTGGTATTCTATCAAATGAGCTTATCCGGTCACACCAGCATACCCATGGTCAATACAATCCAGGTTAATCCCTTAAGTTTATATATTTAGTTCATCCCTTTAGTTTTGTATGAAAAATAAACTTTAAACCACCTCAAAGGGCATGTATCACTTTAGTGACTACTGATCTTAATTACACTTCAATTCTTTTAAGAAACTGAATGCTGGGTATTATTTGATCTAAAGCGCAATCGTCATAATGAAGAAAAAAATGTTTGAAGTATATCACCTTGTGTTCAAAGAATTTACAGTACATGAAATCGCTTTCATTTTTAAAACTGATCTGCATTAAAAGAACATTGCAATGATATTCCAGTAAACTATACTAGACTGAGACCATTTTTGATTTTAAAAAGACATATCTGTTTCTGAAACAAAGGTTTAGCCATAACTGTGCAACTCCTGAGCTTGACTCAAAGCTCAGTCCTGTATCTATGCTGGCTGAAATTGTAAGGTTAATGGATGTTGGAGTAGACAAGCGCCCCACTCTATCTCACTGTAATATACTCCCATCAGCCACTTCATTAGGCAAACTCGTCACTACTCCAAAGTGAAAAAAAAATGAAGTGAGAAAGTAGAAGATGAAGACAGATTGAGTCAAAGAAAGGCAAAGACAGAAATGAGGCAGTGGTAGTTACTCTAGATAAGGTTTCAATAAAAGTGAAAAATACCTAACAACTCTATAATCCTATATCTAACTAATGTAAAGTTTGAGCCAGCCAAGGTGGAAGAACAAAAAAAAAAAAAAGATGGAAACAAGGGAAGGTGGATGGGGTAGATAATAGCATCCGGTTCTTTACCTGGGGTAAATGTCAGAGCTTTCGAGACACTAGTGAGACTCTAGAGAACACACGCAAGCACTGTTTCAGAAATGTCCTAACACTCAATACCTGCCATGCTACAGTGACAAGCACAGGCATTAAGCCCTATTAAGCCAAGGGCATTGCCTGGACACTTATGTGGTGCTAGATGGAGGAGGAAGCCAGTGAGGCAGTGTGACTCAGGTTTCAGAGCTCCTCTGTGTGGAGGGGGGGTGTATATATGTGTGTAAGTAGTAGGATCCCCTGGCTCCTTCAATCCCTCTCTGAAGGAAATGTAGCACTTTGGCTGTCCGGATGGCTGAAATAAAGCTTGTGCACTACACTGAGGACACAGAATACACACCTCACAAAATAGATTAATTACGTCCTGTATCCACAGGATGTATCTTCACTGGAAGAATTATGCAAAATTATGGATTCATTCAATTATGGCTTCAAATTACCTTTCAAAATGTGTCACTTTATCAGCGACAATCATAAAATTAGCAGAATTATGCTATAAATAGTGAAATAAAAGTAGGCTATTAAAGTGAAATCTGTATTTTGTTTCACTGGCTTAGCTTGTGACTTCTCATGTCCCTGAAAATCCAAGAGCATTCTTCTGCTTGGGAAAAATTTTTCCGATCCATCAGATAACACATTTACACTTTTTTTTTTTCTCTTTTTAAACAAATTTACCTTGGAACGTCAGACTGAATAACTGTCTGTTTCCCCAGCCAGTCATTCTGTCCTATAAATTAGCTGGAACACCACCATTATTTCTCTCCAACCAGCTGGGAGACAGACACCAATGCCAGATCTTGGCTACAAGATAGGACAGTTCCACAACTATCACATTGGCCTTTCCCCTTTCTCAGTTGAATTTCTTCCCTGTAAACATTTTCTTCTCTGTTCTTTGTTTTCATATTCCCTTTTCTTCTCTTCTCTGCTATTTCAACAGATAGTATTACAATGCCACATCTCCACAATAGCATTTGGTGAAAATTCTTGCAATAAGGATAAATATTCCTAAACACAATTTAGAATTTCCATTTGACTTTTTAGCTTTCAGGAAACTCAGTTTGTATTTAAATCCAAGCAGCAAAACCAACCTTTGGTCACACAATTTAAGATTTTGAAAGTCAGAAATCAGGTCTTAAAGCATATAAAAGTAGTAGTAACCACTGCAATGCAAGGCAGCATTACCCCTCCCACACCTGTTGCTGTGCATTCCCTTTCAGTTGACTGGAACGGGGCTACAGTTTCCTGTTGCTTGTAAAATAGACCCTTTAGATGTCAATGTTTACTGTAAAATTTTTACTGTAAAATTTATGGTCACAAAAAATGGAAACAGGCATGGGGTGAGAACTAAAAAGATGCCATCCATCGCTTAAAAAGGCAGTTCTAAAACTTTATTAGGCAAGCTACATCTGTACAGTAGCAAACTCAAGGCTTGCGTCCTGAATACACACCCGGAGTAACCCATGTAACCTAACATTTTAATGTTATACATATGGGGTTATATGCAGGCCAAGATGATGAAAAAGTAACATTTTATTTAAAAGAAATACAATTGTATTTAAAAATATGAAAAAGTTTACTTTTCAGTTTTTAATAAAAAGTAAATAAGTAAATGATAGTATACATTTGGTCAAAGGCTTTTATTGAAAAAGTATTGTCATGTTTATATACATAAAAAAAATGTTTGGGGTTTTTATTGATTAGTAAAAGGTCTCTGCTAAAAAGCAGGAGAAAAAAATTTCTTACAAATAAATTGCATACGAAAGGTTTGGAGAAAGGGTCAGCACAGGCAAGATATTCCTCTCTGTTCACTTTATGGGTTTTTGAAGGTTCAGCTGTTTCAGATTTTTCTTTCAATGATTTGACTTTAGGATTATATTCATTTTATTAGACTATTGTTGAATTAACATTTTTATTAAAAATTTATTTGAGGTGATTTCGTATTCTGTCATCTATTACTTGCTATTAATAATACAATTGTGACTGGAAAAAAATATTTAAGCTAATAAACAAAATATTGAAGAGAAAATGTTGAACGGTAGCACATCCATTCATCATGGAAAAGTTGCTGGATTAATACTAAATTGGTGTGCAAGAGTATGTGCTTTATTTACTATTTTTTTACTATTTGTTATTCATAGTGTCCATGCAGTCTGTCACAAATGCTGATTTGTGTTCAATGCAATTTGGCATTTACTTAATCATATTTTATTACTTTAAAGCATTTTTGTAATGTTAGTAGGGTAGGACAAGAAACAATTGCATTAAAGTAACTAAATTAACCCTGTAATGCCAAATGTATCGTATTTGATACATACGGTTTCTGAAATGTTTTGCGTCTGACACCTTTTGCAT